TGACAAAATACAAAAAGCATAAAATAGACAAATGCATAGGGGCAGAAAATAGATGAGTGGTTCCCACGGCTTGGGAAGAGGGAGCGACTGAGAAGTTATTGCTTAATGGGTACAGAGTTTCTGTCTGGGGTGATGAAAAACATTTAGAAACAAATAGTGATAATGGTTATACAACATCATGAGTATGACTACAATGGATTGTACATTTGAAAACAACTAAAATGGAAAATTTTATGGTGTGTATATTTTACCACAGTAAAAAATAAATAAATACCTATCTATACCTTCCAAAAAACAACTACAAAATTTATCAGAGGGAAATCCATATTTATACCAATTCCAAAGAAAGGTGTTCACTGCACGGCATCATTAATATCACACGCAAGTAAAAGTTGCTAAAGATAATTCAAAAATGCCTGCAGCAGTATACTGACAGAGAACTTCCAGAAATGCAAGCTGGATTCAGAAGATGACATCAAATGAGGAATATCACCACTGATGTCAGATGGATCTGGGTTAAAAGAAAAGAATACCAGAAAGATGTTTACTTGTGCTTTACTGACTATGCAAAAGCATTTGACTGTGTGTGAATCATAACATATATGGATAACATTGAGAGGAATGGAATTCTAGAACCCTTAATTGTGCTCCTGAGAAAGCGGTACATAGACCAGGAAGCTGTCATTCAAACAGAAGAACAAGGGGATATTGCATGGTTAAAATCAGCAAGGGTGTGCATCAGGGTTGTATCCTTTCACCATACATAATCAATTGTATCCCAGGCAAATACTCTAAGAAGCTAGACTATATGAAGAAGAACATGGCATCAGGATTAGAGGAAGACTCATTAATAACCTGCAATATGCAAACAACACAACTTTGCTTGCTGAAAGTGAGGATGACTTGAAGCACTTACTGATAAAGATTAAAGACTACAGTGTACAGTAATCGATTATACCTTAACATAAAGAAAACAAAAATCTTCACAACTAGACCAATAAGCAGCATATCATGATAAATGGAGAAAAGATTGAAGTTGTCAAAGATTTCATACTACTTGGATCCATAATCAACACCCATGGAAGCAGCAGTCAAGAAACAGAAGACATGTCACACTGGGCAAATGTGCTGCAAAAGACCTTTTTCAAGTGCTGAAGAACAAAGATGTCTCTCTGAAGACTAAGGTGCAGCTAACCCAAGCCATGGTATTTGACTCATATGCATGTGAAAGCTGGACAATGAACAAGGAAGACTGAAGAAGTGTTGATGCTTTTAAGTTGTGGTGTTAAGAGAAGTATACTGAAAGCACCATGGACTTCTAGAAGAACGAAAAAACCTGTCAGGGAAGAAGTGCAGCCAGAATGCTCCTTGGAAGTGAGAATGGCCAGACTTCATCTCATGTACTTTGGTCATATTACCAGAAAGGACCGTTCCCTGAAGAAGGATATCATGTTTGGTAAAGTAAAGGGTGAGTGAAAAAGGGGAAGAAACTCAACAAGATAGACTGAAACAGTGGCTACAATGATGGGCTCAGGCATAGCAAGGATTGTAGGGATGGCACATGACTGGACGGTGTTTTGTTCCGTTGTCCATAGGGTCACTATGAGCCATAGCTGACTCAACAGCACCTAACAACAGCAAAAAATTGAAATATATATCATGTTCACAGTTTGTAACCCTCAATATTGTTAAGATGCTAAGTCCCTCCAATGGATCTATAGATTCAAAACTCCAGCAGGATTGTTTTCGTAGCAATAGACAAATGATTTTAAACTGTATATAGAAATTCAAAGGATCTAGAAAATCTAAAAATAATTTTGAAAAGATAAGACCAATTTGTATGACTTTTATGACATGATTCCAAGACCTGCTACAAAGCTACAGTAATCAAGACACATGCTATTGATCATATATAGTCATTCTATATAGTCAACTGACTTCCAACAAAGTTACCTATGTAATTCAATTTGGCAAATGCAGTGCAGTGAATTGCTTAATATGGCCCTTCTAGTCATAGATCTCCATTTTGTGATGTATTGTAAACCCTAGCCTCTATGCCTGTTTAGAGTGGGATGTTATCTTGAGTTCCACCTTGCTGAAGGGTGTGACTCAAGTCACCACTTTTAACTTCCTTCAGGATATATACGTGAACGTCCTGGCAAAGTCGGCTCTCTCTTGCTCTGGATCCTGCATTTGGTTCATCATCATGTCATCCCTGGACCTGAGACAGCAACCAGTCATCTGACCTGCCAATTTGAGTTCGCCAGCCCCTGCAATTATGTGAGTGAGGAGAATCCTCCAGATCTACGTCTGACCCACAGATTTGGGACTTGCCAGCTTCCCCACCTCCACCACCACATGAGAAATCTCCTTGGCAGTGTATGAGTTCTGTGAGATGTTAAAGGTAAACAATGAACCCTTTTGGGCAATCTACTTCCGTAGTGATACTGCCTCGGCAACCCAAGGGGGGGGTTGTTATGAGTCAGTCTGACTCGACGGCACAAAACAACAACAACGATGGGAGGGAAAGTACTGAGGGGAAGAGGAGAGGTTGATATTAGAGATGACAGAGTGGTACAGCAGTTTGGAAAATCTAGACATTTGGAACATCTTTAACATCTGCCTCATAGGGACCAGCCTTGTGCTGATACTTATAAAAGAAATTATTCAAGCTGCAAGGATAGTCTTTTCATTAAATAGTGCTAGAATTACTATATGGAAAAAATGAAATTTGACCCTTACTTACCTCACTCCACAGAAAAATTAGCTGAAAACTCAATCACAGACCTAAATACAAGGAGTTCTGGTGACACAAAGCCTAAGGCATCTGAATGTTAACCAGAAGGTTAATAGTTCAAACCCACCAGCTGCTCCACAAAGGAAGATGAGGCAATCTACTTCTGTAAAGATTTACTGCCTTGGAAACCCAATGGGGGTCACTATGAGTTAGAATCGACTTGATGGCAGTAAGTTTGGGTTTTTTTTAAGAACTAAACATAAAACTATACACTCCTAGAAAAAAAACATAGCAGAGACTCTCCATTATCGTACAGTGAGCAACGATTTCTTAAACAAAAAGCACTAACCCAAAAAAGAAAAAAAAAATGCTTAAACTGGATTTAATCATAATTTTAAAATTCTGTATTTTGTAAGACATTGTTATGAAGACAAAAAGATAAGCCACAAACTGGGAGCAGATATTTAAAATTCATATGCCTGGGAGGAGGGGGAGAAACTTATACCATGTTATATTAAAAATGAACAAACAACAAAAAAAAAATGACTCTTCCAAAACAATAAAACAAATAACTCCCCCCAAAATAGATAAAATATTTGAAAATACACTTCACAAAAGACAGGTTTATAGAACATCAGAAGATACTCAATATTACTAGTTACTGAGAAAAATGAAAATGAAAACTTCAATGAGATACCATTACTCACCCACTGGGGGTGGAGAAGTAACCACTGGCACTGAGTTGATTCCAACTTATAGTGACCCTATGTGACACAGTAGAACTGTTTCACAGGGTTTCCAAGGTTATAATCTTTTTGGAAGCAGATTGCCACATTTTTCTCCCAAGGAGTGGCTGATGGGTTCAAATTGCTAACCTTTCAGTTAGCAGCTAAGTATTCTGACCACTGTGCAACCAGGGGTCCTAACATACCCACTGGTTGGTTGGTTGGTATCAAGTCAGATCCGACTCATAGTGACCCCTCCTTGGGTTTCTGAGGCAGTATCACTACAGAAATAGATTGCCCCATCTTCTTTCTGAGGAGTAGATGGTGGGTTTGAACCGCCAGCCTTCTGGTTAGCAGTCAAGTTCCTTAGGCACTAAACTACCAGAGCTCCCAACATACCCACTAGGATGACTATAATTCAAGTCTGACAATACCAGGTATGGATGAGCCTGTGGAAAAACTGCACTTTCATACATTGCTGGTAGAAGTCTCAATGGGTACAGTTACTTCAGTAAATAGTTGGGCAGTTTCTTAAACATATACTTTAACCATCAATTCCATTCCTAGGTAGCTAGCCAAAATAAGTGAACATAAGTGTGCATATAAAGAACTGTACTTTAATCTTGAATGTTCATAGCAGCATTATTCATAACAGCCAAAAATAAAAATAACCCAAATGTCCATCAAGAACCAAATATAAAAAGTAGGACTACTACTCAACAATAAGGAACACTGATATTACTGATACATGGAACAACATAGACGAATTTCAAAAACATTATGCTGAGCAAGAGAAGTCAGATACAAGAGTATGTATGATAAGATTCTGTTTATATGAAATTCTAGAAGAGGCTAAATCAATGTATAGTGACAGAAAGCAGATCAGTGATTGCCTGGGGTTACAATGTGTAGGGTGGATAGGCTGGAAGGGGAAATATGAGAACTTACTGGGAAGCTCTAGTGGTGTAGTGCCTAAGGCATTTGACTACTAACCAGAAGGTTGGTGGTTCAAGCCCACCAGCCAACTCCACAGAAGGAAGATGAGGCAATCTACTGCCATAAAGATTTATCATCTCAGAAACCCAACGGGGGTCACTATGAGTCAGAATCAACTCAATGGCAGTGAGTTTGGTATTCTTTTTTTGGTATCGGGGTGACAGAAATGTCCTGTATCTTGATTATCATGGTAGTGAAGTGGATACACATATTCGACAAAATGTATCTAATTACACTCTTAAAATATAATTGCGTTTTCCTGTATGTAAATTATATTTCAGTAACATTGATTTTCAAAAAATGTCAGTGCAATGCTTTTCAAGCAGTGTAGCGAGGAGTTGCTCAAATACTGATCCTTTCCCCTCAGTCTCACATAGGGGGCAAGGAAAGCTTCTGGATCCTTCAGGTGTGAGCAGTATCTTCCAAGTACCCCAGTGTAGTCTTCTATGGGTGCCATAATAGGAAAGTTGAAAAGCACTGACCTGAGAGTGTTTTAAAGTAAACCCCAACCCAGTTCAAAAATTGAAATAAAAATTCTATACCTTAAGCACACTTATCAGTTTCTCCTTTGGTGCCTTCTCTCTCTTTAGAAAGTTATACAAGTACATATGGGCATTCGGATTTGATGGAAACTTCTCATCATATGCATAATTGGTGAGGACCTCTCGTGCTCCATCTTGATCCCCATAGAATTCCAGCATCTATACAAAATAAGTCATAATAGCTTAGCTAAATTGTCAGAGAACTATATGAAAGATAATAGCTTTACTGATGGACACTGAGAATCAAAACACTGACAAATAGTACTGTACAAGGAGTAACAGTAATGCCAGTTTTTCCTTTTACCAGCTATATTACAAGCTTTATGGAACACAGAAAATCACTTATGACAAGGCCTATATGCTTTCACATTTTTTTTCATGATACTTGCTAATGGAAAATGAAGCACCTTCAACATAATAAGAAATAAAGACCTCAGAGAAGGGCACACTAATGACTGCAAAAAGATTATGTGATGCAACTAACCTCAGTGCCCTACATAACTTCAGCCACAGAAGGTGTACAAGGATTATAATTTCTCTTCAGTTCATTCCCATCCTTTTATAAAATTCCAAGATTCTCTGGTATAGAGTTTCAGAAATTATCATCTAATAGCACAATTATCACTTCACTACTCATTACACTTTCCTCAAGCAAATTACTTTTGAGATTTATTCCTACTGCCCAATGTCAATGCACTCTATCCTTTTACAATGGATAGAATGGGATAAAAGGACATCATTATAAACTTCCTAAAAGCCATTCTACTTCACCTCATACACTGTAACCTAGTTACAGAATTTTCTTCTCTTCCCTTCTATAAACCTCACCAAATCATAAAAAAAAAAAAAAAAAAGAAACTGAGACAAATTATAGTTATTCTTGCTTCTACGGAGCATTCTGGCTGCATTTCTCTTTTCTGTACTAACATTTGCCTTGGCTATTAGAATATATACAAAACAAAACCAAAAAAAAAAAAAAAAAAAAAAAAAACCCCTGCTTTTAAGCTTAACAAGAGCAGAGAACTAAAATTTACAATACGTCTACTTATATATAAGCACTTGTTCACAGCTGGTTATCTTGTAGTAAAAATAAGTACAGAGTAACATTAACAGCAGACTAGTAAAATAAAAATATTCAGACAATTTAAAAAGAGACCATATTCCTTTTTACTAGAATTCTCTCCATTCTTCTAATCCATAAAGATTAGGCACAGACTTACAAAAAACAAAAAAGATAATAACACTTTATGAAAAGTCTAATTACCTCTACATAACTCTTCACAAAAGGGTCCCAAACTCCAGGAATCTGAATCAATGCACAAAAATTTATAGATGTCTTCCAGCTGTGGTTGAGCATATTCTGGGTTGCTGTGCTGTAAGCATAATCATCCTCATCTGCCAAAAGATAAGATTTTTAAAAGTCACTCAGTGTTGGCCATCAATTCTGCAGCTAGCAACATGGAAGGTGGCGACAGCAGCGCTGCTGTGGCTGGCCTTGGGGCTCTAAGCTCTGGGGCGGCTGCAGCAACAGTCCGGGAGCTTCTACAGGACGAGTGTTATAGTGCCTTTTTAAATGAAGACTTTGATGTAAAGATTTATACTTCTCAATCTATTCATCAAGCTGTAATTGCTGAACAACTAGCAAAACTTGCCCAAGGAATAAGTCAGTTGGATAAAGAACTACACCTACAGGTTGTTGCAAGACATGAAGATTTACTGGCACAAGCAACTGGAATCGAGTCTTTGGAAGGTGTTCTTCAAATGATGCAGACAAGAATTGGGGCCTTACAGGGAGCTGTTGATAGAATGAAAGCCAAAATTGTGGAGCCGTATAACAAAATAGTAGCTCGTACTGCACAACTAGCAAGACTTCAGGTAGTTTCTCACTTTTAATTTCTTTGTACTTTGTTATTCATTTTGTGGTAAGTGGGCAAATTTCAAGAGTCTGAATTCTGAAGAAATAAGAATGGAAATGAAATATGAAAGAAAAGAACAAATTCTAAAAAGCCTTAAAATAAGACATTCCGTTAAAAAAGTGTAAATCTAAACTACTGTCCAAGTGAATTTGTTTCACTTATTATATTGTAAAATCATTTATACTTTTATAATTTTTATAGTATTCAAAATTATTCCTTGTAATAGAGAACAAGAAAGAACCTAACAGTTATTGTATTCTTAAATATGAATCAAATTTCTTTTCTGTGTAATTTAAGAAACCCAACAACTTCCATTATGGCATTTTCTGTGTAGCTTTTCCCTTGTCATATTCTATAAGACTAAGACTGACTGTTAATGTTTGAATCTCCAGCCTTAGCAGAGTATTAATGTATCAGCCACTTAGAAAATATTTAATAAATAAATAAAATTACTTGTTCCTTGGTCTGTGACAGAGTTGTAACTTTTTTCTAAACATGTAGCATATATGACTGAATAAAATATACATGTCATTAAAAAAAAAAAAAAAGTCACTCAGTGTTGAGGACTTCTGCTAATTTAGTAATCAAGAAACTTGCAGGAAGAAAACCTGAGGCCTTGTGGCTCACACACATTTAAAGACAAATAATACTATTCAAGAAAACTAAAAAAGTCTTTTCAAAAGATAGTACTAGGGTATAGGGTTGGCAGACAATGGTCCTGTAAGTTTATGTGTATGATCTGAATTCCCAGGTGTATAGCAGAGTTGACAAGAGGCAAAGTGGCAGTCACTGCTTGGTCACAGCCAGCTACCCAGAGGGACCGAGTAGTTGAACCTGTGGGCTTGGCACCATAGTCACAGGGGACATCAAGCTCAACTGGCATAACATACTGCACAAAACATTGTTCCACCTCCTACTTTGGC